CACGACGCGCGCTCGCGGGGCCCGGCGTGGACCGCGCCCAGCGCAGCGCCGGCCGCGGGAGAGCCCCGAGCGTGCGCCGTGCGCCTGACCCGGGGACTGGAGAAGGAACGTACGAGGGTCTTCGCGGCCCGGGCCGGCCGTTTCACACGCCCTGTGCACTAGGCGACTCTGCCTCGGCCGTCTCTGCTCGTGGGGATGTTGTGAACTTTCCCGTTAGGTTGATCAGCATATGGTGAGCAGAGCACTTGGTGACCTTTGGGGATCCTCTCCACCCTCGTGGTCATATGGGTTCTCTGTGATGTCCTCTGAGATGATGGTATCAAGATGGACCAGTTACCACCCCTCCCCAGGCCCCGCTCCATTTGTTTTGCGAGCCACCGCCCAGAGGGAAACCAAACTCCCCAGTCCAGCTGGCCCCGTCCTCCTGAGGTTCCTCTGTCCCGTGGCTGACACTTTCCCTGTGTTTCAGGAGCTCAATCTAGGACGGAGAGAGGAGTACGACGTTTTGGACAAGAGACGGGGCCGCGACCCTGAGATGGGAGGAAAGCAGGTGGGCCATGCCTGTCTGCCTGTGGTCCCGGTGCGGTGGGGCTCCTCTGGCCTGCAGGGGGTGCGCCTCCGTCCCAGCACAGTCTGCAACCAGCCTCAACGTGGTGGGCCTGGGGCAAGGGGATGGACAGAGATTCCCTTGCTGCAGCCCCCTCTCCTTCCTCCTTGGCCCCCCTCTGCGTTTCAAGTGGCCTCGGCCTGAATGTGGCACACCCCCCCACACGTCTAAGCACTGGTCCTTGGTCGCCTGGAGATGCACAGATGGTGGTACCATCTGGCCCAGGAGGACAGACCTGGTGAAGAGGTCCACACAGGAAGGGGCCCAAGATCAGTGGGCCAGAAATTCTGGGTCCTGGGTACCCCTCGGAAGCATGGTCGGGGTTTGGGTTCTGGGTGGCTCTGCCTTGCTTGCTTGGTGGACTCCACACTCTGGGGAGAGGAACAGCTGGATGAAGCCAGAGTTGGGTCTTTTTATTATTCTTAAATTTTTAACCCACATTCTGATTATCTTTATTTATTTTTATTTAATTAATGAATTTATTTGTTTTGAGTCGGAGTCTCACTCTGTCGCCCAGGCTGGAGTGCACCGGCACACTCGCAGCCACCCCAGCCTCAACCTGCTTGGCTCAGCCTTCCAAGTAACTTCCAAGTAACTTCCAAGTAACAGGCGTGAGCCACCATGCCCGGCTAATCTTTGTTTTTAAAATAAGTATGAATCATATGGCAGTTTTATTTGTAGTTATTTGAGGAGCCCCTATGCTGTTTTCTATCATGGCTGTATTATTTTATACTCCCACTAACAGTGTACAAGGGTTCCCTTTCTCCACATCCTCACCAACACTTGTCTTTTGTGTGTTTGATTACAGCCATTCTTACCAGTGTGAAGTGACATCCCATTGGGGTTTTAATTAGCATCTAATGATTAGTGATATAAACATTTATTCATGCAACTGTTAGCCATTCGTATGTCTTGAGATTATTATGGTCCCTTGCCCATTTCATAATCAGATTATTTGTTTTCTTTCTATAGAGTAGCTCAAGTTCATTATATATTTTGAATATTAATCTCTTATCAGAAGTATGGGTTGCAAATATTTCTTCCTAATCTGTAGGTTCTCTTCACTCTATTTTCTTGACTGTGTAGAAGCATTTCATTTTGACAATCTCATTTGTCTATCTTTGATTTTGTTGCCTTTGCTTTTGGGGTCAAATCTAAAAAGTCACTGCCCAAACCAATGTCATGTAGTTCTCCCCCTGTGTTTTCTTCTAGTAGTTTTTAGTTTTGGGTCTTATGTTTAAGTCTTCAATCCATTTTTAGTTGATTTCTGTATAGGTGCAAGATAAGGGCCTAATTTCATCCTTTTGCATGTGGATATCTAGTTTTCTATTTATTGAAGAGATTGTCCATTTCTTTGCACTTTTATCAAAGATCAACTGACCAGGGGTGTATGAATTATTTTCTGGACTCTCTATTCTGTTCCATTGGTGAATGTGTCTATTTTTATGCCAGAACCATGTTTTCTTAGTTACTATCACTCGTAGTATAGCTAGAAATCAGGTAGTATGATGTCTCCATCTTTGTTCTTTTTGTTCATGATTGTCTTGACTATTTTCTTTGTGGTTTTTAGAACTGTTTTTCTATATTTATTAGAAATAACTTTGGAATTTTGATAGGGATTTGCATTGAATCTGGATTGCTTTGGGTAATGTGGACATTTTAACATTATTAATTTTTCGAATCTGAGTATATGATATCTTTCCATTTATTTTGTGTCTTCTTCAGTTTCTTTCATTAATGTTTTATAGTTTTCAGTGTACAGATCTTTCATCTACTTGGCTAAATTTATCCCTAAATTTCTTTTTTGTAGTTATTGTGAGATCATCCTCTTGATCCTTTTTCTTTTTTGAAAAGTTTGTTGTTAGTATAGAGAGGTGCTACCAATTTTTGCATGTTGATTTTGTATCCTGCAACTTTGCTGAATTTGCTTATCAGTTTAATAGTTCTTTGATGGAATCTTTAGGATTTTCAATATATAAGAACATGTCATCCACAAACAGGAATGATTTAAACTTCTTTCCAGTTTGGGTGTCTTTTCTTACTTCAGCCTAATTTCTCTGATTAGGACCACTAGTGCTAGTATTGAACAGAAATGGTGAGAGTAGACATCCTTGTCTTCTTGTTTCAGTTCTGAAAAGCTTTCAATTTTTCCCCTGAGTATGATGTTACTGTAGGTTTGTCAGATATGGTTTTTATTGTGTTGAAGTACATTCCTTGTATACCACCAAGCTTGTTGAGTTTTTAATCATGAAAGGATGAATTTTTCAGATGCTTTTTCTGCATCTAGTGAGATAATCACATGTTTTTTGCCCTTCATTCTGCTAACAGGATGCATCCCATTTATTGATTAGCATGTGCTGAACCACGCTTGTATCCCAGGGATAAATCCCACTTGATCCTGGTGGATGGTCCTTTTAATGGGTTGTTGAAATTTGGTTTGTTAGGGTCCCCTTAAGAGCAGAGCTCAGGTCAAATGCTGGGGCTGCCTCAGGTTAAGGGTGGTACTGCCTGATGCTGCCAGTGGTCCTCAATGTCTCTGGTCACACCTGTCCATCCAGCCCCTGTTCTCCCCGAGTCCTGTTCTGGGCACATGTTGTTAGAGTGAATGGGCAATGGAGAGACCGCTGGTTTCCTTGACCACCCCTTATCGTCACTCTCCAACTCAACTCTTCCCTCCTCCTTTTGCCTGTACTAGGAGGGCACGGGGAGGGCACCATTTGGTAAGATCTGCCTAGCAGTGGCTGGCGCTGCTCCAAATGAGGCGCCATTTGTCTTCAGCTGAAAGTCCCACTTGTAAGCTTGTGGTGCAGTGTAGGGGTATGTCTGCCAAGGGACAGACAGACGGGCCGTCAGCAGACTGTCCACCCTGGGCAAGGCTGAGGTTTGGTGGGCTCCTCTGGGAGGGCAAAGCGTGTGTGCACGTAGGAGCTGGCTAGTGCTGCAAAGGCTCGACCGTGGCCCAGGAAAGGGGGGGGAGCCGGGGGAGGAGAGAGGCGGAGGGCAGAGCCACGCCTCATCGAGGTGGGGCGGTGGGGGCAGGATGGGGCCTGGAGTCACGTTTCTGTCCCTCTGATGTCCTCCCTGTTGTCTTTCCTAGCAGCGGAGGAAGAATCCTCAGGAAGGCCTGTACAATGTGAGTGAAGGAGGGCGCCCATTTTACCCTGGGAGCTGGGGAAGGGCTGGGGAGGGCTCTGGATGAGGCATGCCTCCACACCCTGGGCCTTGTCCAGACCTCCCCTTCCCCGAGTCACGTCTCACCGCCTGCTGCCTGCAGCAGCACCTGCTTCTAGAAAGGCCCCTTAGCTGAGATGTGCCAAGGGATCCCCCTTCCCTTGCCATCTCCCCCGTCCCCCAACCTGGGCCTGCTGCTGGAGCTCCTGGGTGGATCTGCCTGGGCTGTAGGGGACACTGCGAGGTCAGGATGGGCAAGAACAAAGCAGCAGGCCCTTGTGAGGTCTACTTCACTTTCCTGGGTGTGAACCTGACGGTCATTTTCAGATGGTTGACATGGGTCTGCGTGGCATGGCCCCTTGCATATGGCAGGCTTTAAAGGGAGGTGCCCCCTTCCCTTGGGGAGATGGTGGCTTGATCACAGCCCATGGTGCTGGCTATGTAGAGACAACTAGCTCAAATGATTCCAGGGCTCCAGACAAGCCCTTGTCGGTCCGAGACCTATGCCTTTGTCCAGAACACCACATCCTATCTTTTTGAGCCCATCTGAGCATCTCAGCTCAGTGCAGGGCGCTGGCAGCTTAGAGCGGATTCCCAAGAGCTGAGGATGAGGAACGTGGGCTGGAGCCGGGTGTGGGCAGAGAAGTGGTAAGGTTTGGAGCCTTGATGACAGGCGCTCCCTGCCAACTTGAGGGTCAGGAGGTTTCCTACTGCTGGGGGCCCACTGAGTCCTGCACTGGTGAATCAGTCAGCATCTCCTGCCCTCTTCCTCTCCAGGCCCTGCAGAAAGAAAAGATGGCCGAGGCCTACAGTGAAATCGGGATGAAGGGTGAGGTGAGTGGTGCTTTCCTGATTCCCCCGGGAGTTCCTTGCAGTCTTCCACAGGCCTACCTGCCACAGGCCTCCTCTCCCATCCCCTCCCCATCACCCTGCAAATGCCAGAGGTGAAGGGGAGCCAGCTGTCACCCAGTGGGGTAGTCTATAAGAAAGGAAGGAAGGGCTGAAGCTCTTTCAGGATCGAAATCCAATCCTAGGTTCTTGGACAGCCCATGCTTTGCAAAGGCAGGCCACTTTTAACAACAGGAAGTATTTAGTGCTTAACACATGCTGACCTGTGTTCAGGGCTCAGGATTGCAGACCCCTGGGTAAAGTGAAAATACAGGGCCCTCTTCATAAATGATTAATTTCAAAATGATGGGAGCAAAGCATGGACCCCTTCTAAGTAGGGGCCCGGTGTCATTTCATTTAATCACTATAATGGCCCCATGAACATACGTGCCCTGTGAGGCACAGGGAGGTTGAGTAACTTACTCGAGGTCATGCAGCTGGTAAATAGGAAAGCCCAGGTGTAACAACTCAGCCAGAACAGGAACCACGCACAAGGGCTTGTTGTCATTCCCAGTGAGCATCAGCAACTAGCCCGGAGTCTCAAGATCTGATTATTCCAAGCCAAGGGCGATGTAGCCAGACTCCATGGGGCCTGGATCCAGGAGTCTAATGTGTAGGAGGGTCTGAGAGGGGCCAAAGTGAGGCTGGTCACCATCAGAGCAAGGGCTTACCTTATTCTGCAGAGATGAAGGTCTGACCTGGGGCCTGCTGGGAGAAAGTCTCCTCTGGTTTCCCAGGACCCTTGAGCAGCATTGTCACTGCTGACTGCCTGACTTTCTAATCCCTTTCTCATTTCACTCCCAAAAAACCAGCGGCGGAGAGGCAAGGGGCACGATGGCCTTTACCAGGTAAGAGCTGTTCTCCTTTCAGCGGACCATCTGACAGGGGTGACGCTGGGGCTCCCCACGTTTTGCTTGTTGGTGGCACCAGCTCTTGTCAACAGCTGGCAGGGCAAGCCCAGGGTGCCCATTTAGGCCAGTCCCTAGAGCTGGGCTGGGACATGGCCATCTCAGCAAATGACTTGGCTCTAACAAAGAGGCTGCAGAGACCCCAGGCATTGCTTGGCCATGGTAGGCAGCTGTTCCCTGGCCCCGAGGTGTGCAGTCCCCCACAGGTGAAGATGTAGGCCAAGGACACTTCACAAGTGCTTTCCTGCCTCGTGGTCTGCTCCAGGTCCTTGCAGGAACCTTGCTTGTCTTGTGAAAGATAAGAGGGTGGGTAGGAAGACTGAAGACAAAAAGTTTTTAAAAAAATGTCAACTTCAAAAGGAAAGTGTTATTGTAATCAGGGGCCTGGTTTATGCAAATTAACACAGACAATTATGCAAACTAAGCATAGTCAACCTACTTTTCTGAAGTAGGATCCCCAGCAGGCATTTTGTTCCTGGCTCCCCGGAGCTGTTGATAGCACACCCTGCCGACTCCAAAGTGTCAGGACGCTTGGCTTGCTTGACCTCAGTGACTCAAAAGGGCTGCAGAGGCTGGGCGCAGTGGCCCACGCCCATAATCCCAACACTTTGGGAGGCTAAGGTGGGAAGATTGCTTGAGCCCAGGAGTTCAAGACCAGCCTGGGTAAAATAGTGAGACCTCATCTCTCTGCACAATCAACACAATTATCCAGGCATGGTGGTGCATGCTTGTAGTCCCAGCTACTTGGGAGGCTGAGGCAGAAGCCTGAGCCCATGAGGCGGAGGCTGTGGTGAGCTGCCACTGCATTCCAGCTTGGGCAACAGAGTGAGACCCTGATTTA